AAAAAAAATCACAAAAAACATGAAAAAAAAAGAAGGTAATATATAATGGATGTAGAAAGCCTCTCCTAAACAATAGACGACTAAAACCAACAACTGGAAAACTATTCAAATATTCGTATTTCAAATACAAAGTCATAATGTAACAACTCAAATTATGATTTTGGTTTTTGTAGTTTGATTAAGTTCCACTTTGGTAACTATAATTTCAATTCCTACGAAATGAATCATGTAGGTCACTAATTATTGCAATTTAAGGACAAAAACTTAATTATGAGAACTTTTTATATAGAATTAGCACACTAGTATCTGTGGTGTTTTTACCCTTACAAGAATCCCAATTCACTCACTTGATAATTATGTAAAAAATGAAGGAAGTTGAGGTTTCACCCCAAAACCAATTTGCAATGGGGGGAGTAGCTCAACTCCTTATAAGTTCTTGTTAGGTTTCTCAACTTTCCAATGTGAGACTTTTTATTTTCATAATCTCACATGACCCTGCACGTATGGTGAATTTTCAAGCCTAGCACATGGACAACACATATTGGGTGACGTGGAGCACGTGTGGCTGTTGGACTTTCATACATGGGCTAACTTGCTCTGATACCATGAAGGAAGTTGAGGTTCCACCCCAAAACCAATTGGCAATGGGGGGAGTAGCTCAACTCCTTATAAGCTCTTACTAAGTTTCTCAACTTTCTAATGTGAGACTTTTTACCTTCATATTCTCACAAAAAAAGTGACTGAATTCAGTTATTGTTCTTAAACTACAACAATTACTAAACTACAACTCATTGGCACACTTGTGAGCGTGTGCCAATTGGTTTTTTTAGATTTATTATTTTAAAGTTAAAAAAGATCATGGGTAGTTGTGTTCCATAAAAATAGTGCCCATTATCTTATTTTGGAATTTTTTTAAAAAAATGTGTAGTTGTATTCTATAAAAATAGGATCCATAATCAAATTTTTTTAAAATATGAAAAAGTGTGAATTTACTGTATTATCCTCATTTAATTAATCATTTTAATTCTTAATGTGGCATTAACCAATGACATTTTCTGGTATTTTGAATGTTTTACCATTCTTTTCCCTTTGTAAGTCTTAAGTTACAACAATATTAATCATGATTCTCTTCTAATTGATGCTTGTAACCGGGGTTAGGCATTACGTCTTCCCGTTCATTTTTGTTTGGTGATTCATAAAGTTCCCTCATACCGTCGAGGTTTCTAAAACAAATTTTATTTATTTATTTATGAAGAAGAGGTAAATAAAACCACTCAATTAATTGTCAAAAGTGTCGAAGTTAAATTGTCTAAAACTTTGAGGACCCAATAGCAGAACAAAGTCCATAAATTCCTTATCATCATCATCTAGTCCATTTTGGCTTCTTTTCCCTCCTCTTCTTCCTCACGGCAAAACCAAATCAACCACAAAACACAGAGATGGCCATGCCACCATGGCCTTCTCATCATCACCTTCCATTCTCTCTCCACATTGCGCAACTAACCACCCTTTTGTTCTCTCCCACACTTCTCTCCGAGGATGGATCCATGCTTGGGCTTGAGTGGGCTGTAGCCCAATGTTGACTTTGGAGAGAGACAATTAGGCTTAGTTGTGTAAGCTTAATCCAGAAAAATTAAATAATAGCCCACCACTTTTTCTAGAAAGCAGCCCATATCTACATCCAAATACATTAATACTTCAATTACTATTTTCTCTCTCTCTCTCTCTCTCTCTCTCTCTCTCTCTCTCTCTCTCTCTCTCTCTCTCTCTCTCTCTCTCTCTCTTCTTTGTTTTATTCAGCTTTTGATTTGGCTCTAATAATGTTTATATATCTCTCTGATTTTGTTTTTTTTTCAAATTTATTGATGTTGCTTCTTTTGGAAATATTAAAATATGGACTCTCCCTAACTAAACTACTTTGTTGACCCAAAGACCTCGAGCTTCAAATTGTTCTTCGTCTGAGCCTTTGAATTTTGATTTTTTTGGGTTTTCTTTGTTTGTTGTAGGTTTCTTTGTTCAGATATCTCTATGAAAATAGTGATTTTCTTTTAATGAATTCTGAAATAGTTTTTAATCTAGGGGAAATATATTGAATTAGTAAAAAGTATGCCCCTTTCATCTATATATATAAAGCAAAAGGCAGAGAATGGTGAAATATTCAAAATACCAGAAAGTACTTTGGTTAATTCAAATATTAAGAATTCAAATTATTAATTAAATGATGATAATATGGTAAATTCACATTTTCTATATCTTAAAAAAAAGAGATAATAGGTCCTATTTTTATGGAACACAACTACCCATTGTTTTTTTAAATCTATATATATATATATATATATATAAAGCAAAATGAGAGAATGGTGAAACATTCAAAATACTAGAAAATGCCCTTGGTTAATTCAAACATTAAGAATTGAAATTATTAATTAAATGAGGATAATATGGTAAATTCACATTTTTTCATATTAAAAAAATTAAAATTAAAAAAAATCAGATAATAGATCCTACTTTTATAGAACATAACTACCCATATTATATTTTCTTCATTCTAAAAATAAATTAAAAAATAAAAAAGAAAACCAATTGGCACATGCGTGGGGGCTAGTATATATAAAACTAAAGACAGAGAATGGTAAAACATTTAAAATACCAGAAAATGCCGTTGGTTAATTCAAATATTAAGAATTGAAATTATTAATTAAATAAGGATAATATGGTAAATTCACATTTGTTCATATTAAAACAAAATTAGATAATAGGTCCTAATTTTATGGAACACAATTACCCATTATTTTTAAAATTCTAAAATAAATTTAAAATTTTTATAAAAAAATTATTTCGCAGGCACGGAAGCACGAGCGAAGAGGGCTAGTTAATTTGAAGGAAATGTTGCTTTTGAGATATATATATATAATATATATATATTTGTTTAAAAATAGGGCTTATAATTGATCCCAAAACAAACAAAAAAATTAGTCCACCCTTATAAATATTAGGGAGCTTTAGTTTTAAAACACAATATAGTTTACTAATTTGGAAGATAGGAATACAATTTCATCTAATTAGCATAAGGCCAAAGACCAAATGTAGTATCTAATTTTACATAAATATCATTAAAAATAATCAAAATTACACACAATGTCACTCATTCTAAGGCAAGCATACTATGCCACATGTCCATATCTAGCCAACACCACCGGCCACCTTCCACCAGACACCCTCCGCCGGCCACCGTCGCCGGCCATCGGCCACCACCGCATGTAGGGGACCAACTCCGTTGCCCTTTATTCACCTTTAATAAGTACATAAAAAAAAAGATTTTGTGTCATTGAGGGGACTTGAACCTTGACCCTCAAAGGAGGAAGGATGACTTACACACCACTACACCAAACTTGATTTGTAATATTTATTCAGTTATACAATATTTATATAACAATCAACTGTTTAAAAATAAAATAAAAATCATTTCAACACTTATTCACACAAAAATTGCAAATAAAAACAGAAACTGCAACAAAAATACAATGTAGATATCAATTATGTTTAAAAAAAACAAAAACAGCTACAAAAACAAAAATTAATTTTATTGAAGCAAAATGGAGGAACCAAGATGAAAGTATTAACATGGAAACTGCGATGCAAAAACAAAAACTGCAATGTAGAAATGAAAATTGCAATACAAACATAAATGAAAAAAGAAGCTGGAGAAGAAGAAAAGGAAGATGAGGTTGTTGACTACAACAAGGATGTGGTCAGCCTAATATGAGAAAAGATTTGTTATATATCTTTATTGTCATATAATCTTAGAACATGATGCAACAAACAGAAATGGAACAATAAACTGCACTGCAGTTTCTGATAAAAAACTGTAACAAACGGAAACTGTAGTGCAGTTTATGAAAAAAAATTTCTCAAATGTGAAAAGAAATCAAAAGGCAAAGCCATGATCAAAGTACTAAAATTAAGTTCAAAACATGTATAAATAGATGAGCAATTGTAATATTCCCATAGACTTGCAAAAATTATTCTCAAATTGAATTATGAAACAAGAAACTGCGCTACAAATGGATACTGCATTGCAGTTTATGACAAAACATTTGCTCAACTTTGCAAAGAAACCAAAAGGCAAAGCCATGATCAAAGTAATAAAACTAAGTTTAAAACATATTTAAGTCGATGAGCAGTTGTAGCATTCCCATAGACTTGGAAAATTATTCTAAAATCGAAATATGGAACAGGAAACTGCAATGCAGTTTCTTATAAAAAACTGCAACTAACGAAAACTAGTTAGTAAATGCTAATTAGTAAAGTTAATTATCTCAAATGCTAATTAGTAAAGTTAATTATGTCTAATACCTAATTTTTCTTAAATATTACTGGGTCTGCCATTCTCTCTCTTCATTACCCAAAACTGCTACTGCCTCTTCAGCTTATCAACTTTTCAAACGCTTCCAAAATTCCCGTTGAATAATAACAAAAGAATCCAATGCGCTGAAAAAGGCTCTTCAGCTTCAGGTCTTGATCCCAAGTCCGGAGTTTCAGTCTACAAGCATAGCAATCTGAATGCATGAGACACGATTTTCTCAACTTCCTAAACATGTAAAAGGAGTCGTCAGATGACTTCATTGATGCCAACGTACAACCGGCCTTGGCTGTTCTATATGTTTCAACAAATGGAGAAAGATTTGAATGCATGTACATGTACTTATCTATATGTTTCAACAAATTTATTTGCGTTCAAATTCAGCCATTTCGATACTATGAACTTGAAATTTACAGCTCTAGAAATTGATTGTGCTAACACTGGTTATCTGTGATCTATTGAATATGTGCTCCCATTTGCATTCCTGGATCTGTGGTGTGTGGTTTAAGACTAATGTTGGCTCTGTTTCTCCCGAATTTTGGCAATGCATTACTTCTGCAGTCTGCTTTTCTGAAATTGTGTATAAAAGATACTTTAAGATTTTGAAGTTTCTAGGAAAGAAAAAATTCCTTTAGCAATGTTACCAACTCAAAACTACCCAAGCATTGAGAATTTAAATCCAAAGCCCAAAGTGTATATTGATTGTAACGTAATGCAAAAACATATTATGAAAGGAAGAACAATAACTTGAAAATCTAATTGGATGGGATGTGATATAATATTGCAGAGCGCTACTTGGTGGGAAGAAGATGTTGAGTTGGAAGTATCTTCTGCTTGGCGTAATTGATCAGCTGAAAGAGATGAATGCCAGTGTTCCAATGGATCTGGGATACTCAGTCGAGTCTGATAATACTCAGATGTAATCAAGGCATGATGTTTTTTTTAAAGGATTTTTATGGTGAAATGACCCAAAATGAAAACCGTTATGCAAAATAACTCATTTGTTTCTGAAGTAGAAAACTAACCATTTCTGTATCGTGTCCGAGATTTGAGTTGAGATGGATTGAGATGAGCATATAAAGTGCTTTCTCCATATGCAGAAACAGTTGGTTTTTAACTTTTGAAAGAAGAGTTCTTTTTCTTGATTTTTATTTGATGACACATAATGTTGGCATCCATTTGATTTGATGACACATCAAGCCTATGAACATATAATAAACTGCCACCAAAAATCATACATTTTATACAGCTCTTGGATTTTGGACATCAATTCTTATCATCATAAGCTGAGAAGTCAGGTTCAGGGGGCTTCTGCAGCTTCATCAGCTCCGTGCTACCCATGCTACCCATGCTACCTGTGCTACCTGTGCTACCTGCACTGCGACGCCTATGACCGCGAAGCGCTTTTGCTGCAAAGCGGGATGCAAAGAAGGTGGCACGAAGCTTGCTTGTGATCGAACCGCCTCGATAATCATCATCATCATTATCATCATCTCCTTCGCTGTAGTCAAAGCCTTCTTCCTCCTCCTTACGCAGTTTTTCTGCCAATTTTCTTCTGTAGTGGCGCCAAGCAGCTTGGATGAAGCAGGCTGCCCAAGTCCTCCACTGCTGGGAGTAGAAACGGAAGGTGTACTGAACCTGTCTGCTATGAAGATGCCTAAACTGGCTGGCAACAAATTTCAACTCCTCTGCTTCTAAGGCAAAAGCCTCAACCTCAGTTATAGCCTTCACGGTTCGAGTAGATGATGGTAAGTTAGAACTAGCTTTAGGATCCAATGCCCATGTTAGGAGCTCTTCTCCACAAAAGTCTCCTTCTTTTAGCACACCCACTGTTGAAAAATCCACTCCGACCACCATCTGTCGTCACACTTTCTAGGCGACCACGAATGATGAATAACATCTCACCAACTGGGTCCCCTTCCCGCACAATATAGGTATTCTCTGTGCATAAACTTGGTTTTAGACGCTCACAAATGGCATCAAGCAACCGCTCATCCATATTGGCAAAAAGAGGCACCTGCATATAAATGAGTCAGGACCGTGTGAAGTTAACTGTCATCACAATACAGAAGCGCAAATATGAGAAGACGACATGGAAGAATTATAAAGATCATACGAAGGGAAGTCTGCAAATTTAAAGATTGATAAGGACAAAAACGGGTATAGCTTAAGACTGTTGATCAGTTAAAACATAGCCTTTGTAAACATATATCTGCAATAACATAACAACATTAATGAATAAGAATGAACATTGACATAAGTGTGGATACTTACCCTTCTAACCAAATTCAAGCAGAGATGCCGTTTAATGTCCCTTCTGAGATCTTTTGGAAGACTCCGGACAATGCTCTCCTCATCTACACCTCGAGTCTCCAACCACTTGTATTGATCGTAGCGTCGAACTCTTTCCCTAAGATCTTGTGGAAGCCAGCGATGGTGCATCCACTGCTCAGAGTCACGCTTTTTAATCCTCATCTCCTCGAGACGAATCGTGAGAGACTGAAGGTAGGTCTGGTGAAATTTATTAAATGTATCAGTTTTCTATGGCTTAAAGTTAGAAACCACATACAAAGTAGAAAGCGGAAACAAGTTTGCAGAATTATGGTCTTTCCATAAAAATAGTTTCTGGTGAATCTAATTGGTGGAACGTCATAATAATGATTCGGATCAACAATAACCAACACTTCCCATCATGAAAGCAAAGGCTCTCTATGAGCATCCTCATCTTCAACCAACATTTCCAAAATAAAGGACGTATATGAAGCATCCATAAGATCAATTTATGCCTCACCTGTATATTTCCAATCAGAAGTGCAAAGAGGATGAGGCCAAAAATGCCTATCCCTATGGAAAATAGAATCTCTAAAGCAAAGGTACTGGTTTCAAGCCCCTGGCCAAGTGTACTGCAGAAAGTGAAATAACAATGTGCTGAAATTAATCAGATTTGAGAACCAAAATCAAAACATGTTGCGCACTTTAACAATACAAAATATTCACTGAACTTTGAATGCAAAGAAGATGGCTTAAAAGTTGATAAGCATTACATATGAAGGATGCATTAGTTTCAGATGTCACAGAACAACAGTCAAAGCATATGATGACGTCAATATGCAACAGAATTGAAGCTTATCTAAACACACTAGGAAGAAATCCTGCCTACACAAACTCTTCCTTCTTTGCACTAACTTTCTTCTGCAGAGATGTTGCGTATTTTTATAAGGTATGCATACAGATGAGGCACAGGTGAAGTAACAAGACCATATGGAGACTCATCTGTAGTCTGGGGTATCATCACCACAGGCAGTAACAACAAGGAGGCTTGCAATGGGAAAATGAAGTTGAACTAATCTCAGCAGGGAAAAAAAAGTATAAATAAAAAGAATGGTGTAATTATTCAGTTTTTCCTTGGTATTAGAGCATCAGCTATAGTATACAAATATCAGAGATAATTATTTTAAAAAATATTGATAAATGAGTATCATACCTTAAATTTTTCAGTCCCCACCACAAACAGAATAAAAATTTGGAGAAAAATTCTGTGGATGCAATGACCTTTGAACTTATCGCCTCTGTAAAGATCCCAAATTTAAATGGCAGATTGTCACCTTCAGCGGTGCAGCTCTTATTAAGAACTTCCACTCTGATATCGGACCATTCTTTGTATCCTGGGATATTTTCAGAAATGCCACAGTACAAGTAGTTTATCGTACATTTTTTACTTTCAATACAAGCCTCCCGCCAGCATGTGTCATAGCGCTCTACAGCCAACAAGTACCAGGCAGCCCCAGTGACCTGTAAAATTTTATCGAACAATGGTCGAAAAATTTCAATAAATTGGTTAAGACACCCTACAAGATACTTGAGCTACTAGTATTCAGAAAATAAAAATGTATGAGAAGTAATGGCTTAAACCATAATAAAAACTTAAGCTTGTGATGAAGATTCAGTCAGATCATTCCACTATATACTTGTACTTGCCTGTTAGACAGCCACTAAACCCAATGTCTTAAGTTTTCAGGAAATGAGCCAACAATATATATCAAGCAACAAACTTAATCATGTGTAAGTGCAGCTCACCATGCACCTTGCAAACAAACAAATAAGTGAGGAATGGGAATTGGTGGTTTTGAACTCAGACCTCTTAAAAACAAGGATTTGATACCATGTTAGACAACCACGGATCCCAAGCCAACAATGGATATCAAGCTAATAAACTCCACAAAAAGCAAGGAGAGAGCTACACAGCAAACCTCGAAGGAGATGAAATATGAAGTAAAACAGCACGCTTATATAACATGAGAGTAATACATACTTGAGCAGCCAGCAAAAACCAGAGCAAATAGTATGCAGCCCCGGCCCAAGCACTTTCGGCGAAAGAGCCTGCACTCTTTTTAAGGTCTGAATTTAAAGCTAGTAAGCGGATAAATCTTGGCAATAATTGAAACCAGACAATAAATAGCAATGCCTGTTTCGTAGCCAATACCTCTGACCCTGTTCCATGCAAGAATCTCCAAACCACAATCTGTAATAATGAACAAACATGATAAGAGAACCATCTTTTTCTATTCCAGAGTTTATTACCATCCAAATTAGCTTACAGTATATAGTATTAAGCCATTGGAGTCCTAAAGTTTAGATACTAAAGTACAATATGCAGCAAAGTCAGTTTGTCAAGAACAATAACAAATATTCATAAATGCATGCGGATTAAGAGAAATTAAACATGATTTTTCAGACCTGTGGTAATGGTAGCACGGAAACAAAGTCGACAAAGAAATAGCGGTGTAGATATCGCTTTGCTATCTGTGAAGAATCTATCACAAGTTCACCTCTTCCGAAAACCCGAGATGATGGGGCAATATAAGCTGTGCGAAACTGTAAAGTCATGCGAATAAGGTAGAAAGCATCTACTAATGACCGCACAGTTATAGTTGTGGCTGCTAAGTTTCTATCAATAGTGAGGCAATCTTGTTTCTCATCGAAGATTGGAAGGTAAAAGAACAAAGGATCAATGGATATTGCAAAGATACATGATATGACAAAAAGCCTGTTCCATAACAGAAGGGACTTGTCTTGGGGGTCAAATATCTTTCTATCAGACACTTTAAGATCTTCCGGGAACACTGCACGGGTGACCCCAGTTCTTAATGTTCTACCAAATGTCTTTAGTCCGTCTGATCCCCTCTGAATTCCATACTTCAATGATTTTGATGATGTTGCCTTTCTGTTTCTCCCAGTAAAAGGTAATGCCTCAATATGAAATACAGATTTCTTCATTTTACTGGTATCAGCACTCATCGACATTGTAGAGTCCAAGTCATCTAATCTACAGGTACCAACATATGCCAAGTCATAATAGAGAATAACAATACATCATTGTAATAACAAGAATCCATATCGATTTTTTATTATTTGAGATATGATATATGTATGACACAGGTTAGTGTCCTAATTGTATAATTGTATGTTTTCAGGGATTACCATAACCACCCATCACGACCTCTAGAAAGATGTATCTTATGGGAAACAAAGAACATTAATCAATGTATCTGTTGGAAAAAAGAAAACATTTTAAGGCTATCAGCTGCAAACTACTAGAAAATTTGTCAATTCCAAGCTCAAAAGTGGCGAAATCTAGTGTTTTACATTACGTAAATATGGTCTCATTAAGCAAAGCTTTTGAGTTTTTTAGTAGACCCAAAGTCTCAGATAAGGCCTATATGTTGACAATCAGTTTTTAGAAGAAAAAAAGAGGAAAATATGGAAAGCAAAATGCAAGGAGTAACAGATACAATGTACATTACATACCTGACAAATTTCTCTTTCTGGCCACCAATGTATTGTGACTTGTAACCACAATCAAACATTTTTTGCAATCGGTTACATAGATACGAGGCTAGAATGTGAGAATTCACAGGCAAGTCCCAAGTCAAGTCACTGAGTGGCATAAAGCACAAATTATTCCATCAAAGTAAACAGATGTGATGCTGCCATGGATACATTGAAAAACAGAAAATATAAAAAATGCACTCAAGTCTCTGAGCTTCATATTGTCCAGAGAGAGAGAGAGAGAAGATAAACAAAATAGAATGCAGTTACTCATCTATGATCTTAAGATAACAACATGGTAGTCATTCACTCATGCTTCAATATCCTTCCATGCTGTGTGCCATGATGTGTGCCATAACATAAAAGTGTCTAAATTAATTGTGTAATTGGTTGTATTAAAACTTTATTTCCCCTTTTTCCTTTTCCTTGTTACATTTTCACTTGCCCAAGTAAAAAAAAGAAAACACAAAAAACAGGGGGGTTGTTAAGGCAATCATGAGCCCTGAGGGCTTGGAATGAAGCATACAAAATGAAGCAGCCAAAACCAAACCCAACTAGGCCCCAAAAATGGGAAATTCCATGTTATTGAGGTTCTCTGAGTTAATCTAATTTCAATAGAAACTTGGGCAAACTGTTGTATTGATTCTCAAAACATTCCTTTATGTTAGTTTCTGGTGCATTTATCATTCTCAGCTCCAAGTGCCTTAACCCACTAAGTCATGCATGAAGTCCCACATCATTTTTGAATTCCTACTGCTAATTTCCATGTTTCTAAGTTGTGTAGGAGAATGTGAAAACAAAATTTAGACTAAATGTAATCGCACCATTAATTATCTGGATTTTTTTTCTTCTCATTTCCTACCAATGATCCAAGTATTTGGCATTGTTAAGGATTGCATCATGATCTATCATCTCACATATAATTTAATATTTGAAAACAGAATCAGAAGAAAATAAGAAACAAAATATAATGAAAGGATGAACTTACATTGAAAGTATTCAGCTTTGATTCTCTAATAATAATTAATGAATCTTCTGGAAGATATTGAAAAGATTAGGGTTTGAGGAGGAGAAATAAGGTGGCTGATTTAGAGAGAGAAAGGCGGATCATAAGGAAGGCTGGTATTGAGGACAATGAGGAGGGTGGGAGGGGAGCCAGACCGTTATACCGGTCATGCAAACATAGAGCCTGGTCGACTTGGGCTGGTAACTTTGCTACCTTTGTTTTCTATTTTAAAATTTGCAAGGGGTTTATAGCACAAGTGGTTAAAAATATTTACTTCCACACATGACGTCCTATGTTTAATTCCTCCCTTCGTCAATATTGTTATTACCTCTCTCATCAAATCAATATAAAGTAACATGTAGACTTGGCAACGTATTGTGTTTTATTGTGTTGTGTGTGTGGTGTGCCAGATTATGCTTAATCCAAAACCAATTCATTAACTTAAAGCATTTTCAACAGACTCTCTATCCTCTCATTCCTAGCAATTTTGGCTAAAAAGAAGGAAAATCCTCCTCTAGTAAATTGCCTACTTGGCTCTCTATTTTGAATAACCAATTTTTGGCTCTCTACATCTAGCAAGGAGAGAGAGAGAGAGAGAGAGAGAGAGAGAGAGAAATAGATACATTTGGGAGGTTGGTGGGGTTGGGTTTCTACTTTTATTTTATTTTTTATTTTATAATATATTAGATTTGTAAGAGAGAGAGAGAAAGAGAAAGATAAAATAATAAAAAAATATTTTGGATTAGCCAAAATAGAGAACATTGCTAGAGGAAACACCTTTTAAGTGGTTTGCTATAGGGAGTTTCACTAAAACACCCAAAATGGGGGCTGAAATTATAAAAAAAACCCAATACCCAAAACACTTTATAAACACACCCAAAACCCATCATTACACACACTCAAAACCCATTTATAAACACACCCAAAAAATATACAATTGTTGATTTTGGGGTTGATTTTGGGTGTGTTTCTATGTTTAAATAGTGCTTGAGTTTTTTTATAAATACATGTTTATGATTGGGTTTATTTATAAATTTGTATTTGCTATAATAGTTTTCTAGCTATTTTAGCTAGAATTTGGCTAAAATTTGGAGACTCTCCTGGAGATGCTATCATACCCAAATATATAACACAACTCTTTTCGCAAATTTCAATATCGTATAGTGCTGTGTTGTGTTTCACCGGTTTACCCATTTTTCTCTTTTTCTTTTTTTTTCTTTTTTTTGTTGGTGTTGTCAATTAAACACCAAAATATAAAATATTATCAAATAATATAAAGTGTAAAACAAAGAGAACACCTTCTAATACCATAATAACTTATGCAAAAGAAATTACATAACAATTCACTAACCATTTTACCCAAAAAAACATACCTTGACCTTGAAGTAGTAAAACTCCTTCAAACGGCCTGACCAGCCAAAAAGAGAGAAACAACGTTATATTAACTTACTAACTTATTAGCACTTGAAATATACTGCCTAAAAATAAGAATAAACTTGATACACATTCAGCTCATTCCCTCGTAGTTCAAATATTTTGAAACCTAATAATTGCAGCACCCATAAAAACATACATTTATAATACACTAACTTTGACTTTGAATTGTAGTTTGTACCAGACAACATCATGTGAATTACTCATGTCACCATGATAATCCATCTTTGAAAAGAAGACAAGAAGATGCCGACATATTTCCTAAACAAAATAAGCATCCATTTTGTATAAAGATAGGATGTATAAGGGTCTAAGTACTTAATGATGAGACCTCTCATAAATTCCGGTACAACGAAGCAAAACTTACCCAATTTTTTAAAATACCAATATATCATGTTTCCTTTGAGCTCTTCCAATATAAATCTTAAGGCAGTAAGACACCACATGTTTTTTATTTATGAATAATCGTTGTCTTCAACTTGAGAAAGAACACCCATATCCTGGCTAGGCCTCCTTGTGCATTTGAATTTAACAGTGTAATCTTGTTTTCTTTTATTTTTATAGTATATGCTATCTTAGTACTAAATATGGTTTTTCTTTTGTTAGTGTTTATAACATATCTGACCGGCTAATCAGAGAATGACACGTGGAATTGGGGGACCCACAAAGGGCCTACTAAATCTAGGCAACCTGTCACATCCCACAAAGTACCATCGACAGGTTGTGAGCGTTCAACATCTTGATCATGGCTAAAAACCACGCTTATAAGGAATTTCTCACAATGACACGGGGCACCCCCTCAGACGATGCCTATAGTTCCACATCGAAATCTCATTTAAGATGCACATCTCCTAAGATGTATAAAAAAAAGGGCACAAGTCCCCAAAACAAGGTAATTGCGACATTCTCCTACCTAGCCATTATTCTATCCAGATCACTATTCACTCCATACTTAGTACTAACTTAAGCATCGGATAGCCTTCGGCCAGTATCACACTAGTGCCCAGAGCCTCAATGCTCTTTCTTTGTTTCATAGCTTATCCATCATGTCGAAGAGCGCACAAAGCCGAAGGCAACATCATCACTTAGTTGGGCCCAAAAATATCCGACCATTTTTTAGCATCAATAGTTAGAATGCCTACTTCTGCCATGTATGGCCCTAGCTATATGGGTGGACTTAAATTAAAACAACTTAGTTATCCGCATAAGGATTATGGATACATGATTAGGACCAAGGTCTAAAATATCGGGAGTTTCGGAAATATTGGTGGTCCAAAAACACGGATATATCGATGGAAATATCGAGGAAATATCGATATCGATAAAAATTGAATAAAATCACGGAAATTATGAGAAAAACTTGGAAATTTTTATTGAAACTTTAGATGATGTTTACTTAGTCAATTGTCTATTATTTTATCACAAAAAATTGGAAGAAAATGCATGGCATGGTGGGTTTAAGTGATTTAAGTTGATTATGCAGCAACCTGACAAACACCGTGACTTTAGAAATATGTAGTAATTAGTGAAAGAAAATTAAACACACCATAATTTTTTAGTTATAATAATTTACTTGAATATATTACACTTGATACATATGATAAAATATATGAGCTTAACCAAAAAAACAAAGACAAAATGTATGAGTAACTTAGTACCACATAGAAAGAATTCATATTATAATTCAAACTTAGTATCACATATAATGAACAATATTAAAACTCAAAGTGAATAATAATAAAACTCCATAATATATAACAACAACAAAATACTACTCTATTATAAATAATAAATAACATTAAATATATGCTTAAATTTATTCTCAGGGAATTTTTTTAATATGAAAATTTATCTTAGATAATATTAGCTTGCAGACATTTTTAAAGACCTTATAAATATTACAATCTAAAGATAAAAAGATAAACTCAGCCGCAGCTGAGTTGGATAAGGCGCTGGCTGATGAGAAAGGGAGGGATTCGAATCCCTATGTGCGCAAGATGGAGACTTTTCAACGTTTTTCTTGTATTTTTTCGGTTTCATATCGCGATATTATCAAATAAAGCATGAAAAATGTTGAAATTATCGTCCACGACATTATCGCGATAATATCGACAAAAATATCGATATATTGACGATAATTAAGTGGATATGTGCGAAAATATCTCCCACTCAAAAAACGATGTCTAAATTAAATAAGTGTGATAGTCATTATTGTCCTAATCATTAACCTATTATTAGTGGACAACAGGGATCAATTTTACATTTGTAAAGTATTGATCACAGGAATGCAATTTGTTGATTTTTTAAATTACATATGTGATGAAAGATATACAAACATGATTATATTTGAGTGCTGCTATTTTCACGTTTTAGTCTAATATTTTGATTTTTTTTGGATCTTTTAGATTTTTATTCTCTGCCTTGTAGTTTTTGAAAATATTATGGATAAATGAGTTGAGGTTTTTTCCCTGAGTCCATTTTACAAAGGGTAAATTTGTCTTTAAAATTTTAAGGATAAAGTGAGTGAAAAAATAGGACATGAAGTGGAAATAGCAGCACTCTTGTATATAAACGGTGGGATGAAACATTTTCTCTTGAAAGGTAGGCTAGGTCTTGACATCTTTACATACTAAATATCCTTCATTTTTTTTTTTTTTTTTTTTTTTTTTTTTTTTTTTTTTATTTATTTATTGAGCATATAAAACTACATGTTACACCATGGTCGCTGGTGCTCTAGCCTATTTTGGTTGTGTAATTTTCCTTTATTTATTTTTTGTAAAAATAATGTATGATTTTCGAAATTTAGGTCTTCTTCGACGAGCCCTTGTGTGATTTATTTTTGTTTTAAAAAAATCCTTATCTAAGAATGACAGTCTAATTAATTTATGTTTGATTACCAAACCAATCAGTTTAATTTTATTTATTATTTTTATTTTTTCGGTTAAAATGCAAACCAAATCGCCCAATTTGGTCGAGTTCATAGTTCGAGAAATACCAAACTGCCGATTCACTTGAACCAAATCGGTTAGCATTAGTACTTAAATATCCAAAAATTTGTAGCAATCACCCAATTGGTCGAGTTCATAGTTTGAGAAATACCAAACCGCTTATTCACTTGAACCAAATCGGTTAGCATTAGTACTTAAATATCCAAAAATTTGTAGCCAAGGGGGTTCGATCCCTTTACCTCCATAATGAACTTTAAGCCCCAAACTACTACGACATAAAGTTATTTTGTGTTAATTATGTAAAACCAATATATTTCACCACTTTCAAGTCCAAGAATATTTTAAAAAATAAAAATCATAAGTGATAGCACTTTCATAACCCTACCCTTGTGTGCCCTTAGGGTTCAAAATTTTTGGGTTTGAGCCGGGCTTCACTGGTTTTCTAAATTTTTTGGGCCAGACTGAACCTAGGTTTCAAATGTCAAGGCCCTACCAATTGGGTTGGGTTGAATTGGGCCTCCTATGGGCCTAAACTTGGCCGACCCTTTTTTTCTTTTTTATAAGTATTTTATAACTTAATCCATAACATGTGTAAACAAAATATAAAGTTTTTTAAGTTATTCTACATATTATATTATTTTGATTAAGTCTAAAATGAGGTTAATGAGTGCTTCAATTAAGTCTTAAAAAAAGAAGGGCCTAAACGGGCCGGGCTTAAAAGGGCCTAGGCGGGTTGGGCTTAAACGGGCCTAGGTGGGCCGTGGGTGGGCAGAGGGTTTCAAATTATAAGCCTAAGTCCTACCCAATTCAAGAACAAGCTAGATCGAACTTTGGGTTATCGGGCCTCGAGCTACCCACTTCGGCTCATGGGCTTAAGGCCAAATGATGATTCCTCAATACAAAGCCTCGTCGTCTCGTGCGCTACCTCACCTCGGTGTGAAAACCAAAACCAAACCACACCGAACCGTTCATTTCAATTAACTGAGGGTGTCGATTTTTTAGGATGGTGGTTCGGCGTCGGTTTTGCAAATCCCTCCACTGAAGCTCTTGGTTTGGCATGTGATAAGTGTATATTTTATATATATTTTATGCCTCCTTACTTATTTATTTGTTAATTTCCTTGGATTAAATCCGTTGTTTTAATTGGTGTTTGTACAATATTTGGCCAAGCACTCTCAAGCCAATCCAAGCAAAGGGAAGGGAGTCCCACATCGACAAAACACAAGAAGAGGGGACTCTCTCTCAATTATAAAAGGAGACCTCTCTCCTTCAAGAAAGAGAGAGTTAGACAGGCTACTAGGGCACCATATGGCTCATAAGGGCCTTATGGGCTTACTCCTAAGCCCATTTACAAACCCACGGATCATTTGCCTTCAGCCAGATCTTCAACCTTCGGCCCTCCGTCTTCGGCCCTCCGCCTTCGACCATCAGCCTTCGGCCCTCAGCCTTCGGCCATCAGCCTCTGGCATTCTTCCTCCTCTCCTTGGGTCTAACCCTATGTGCAATGTATACAGTCTTTATCATAATGAGAACATACTTCTCCGTGTACGTAGCCCATTATTCGGGTGAACCACGTACATTTGTCTTCTGTATGCATGCCTATTTACTTACCGAATGCTCTCACATACCGAGGGTCCTTACCTTCATCATCCTCCTCCTCATCTTTAAGTTGGTCTAATTACTACTGTCTAGTTTTTACCTAGAATAGATTGGGGCCGTCTGTGGGAAACGACACAAAGGGCTATGTCGTTCTCCTTCTCCAGTGCCCTCGGCACCCTACAACAAGTGCCTTTCGGCCATCAGCCTTCGGCCTTCGGCACCCTTCCATCATTCGGCACGTGCAATGTTTTCACATCCCCCCAATGATTCGGAATCAGCCTTCGGCACCATTCCATCATTCGGCGCGTGCGATGTCTTCACATCCCCCCAATGATTCGGAATCAGCCTTCGGCACCCTTCCATCATTCGGCGCGTGCGATGTCTTCACATCCCCCCAATGATTCGGAATCAGCCTTCGGCACCCTTACATCATTCGGCGCGTGCGATGTCTTCACATCCCCCCAATGATTCGGAATCGACCTTCAGCCTTCGCACTTTTCCATCATTCGGCGCATGTGATGTCTTCACATCTCCCCAATGATTCGGAATCGGCATTCGGTATCCTTCCATCATTCGGCACGTGCAATGTCTTCACATCCCCCCAATGATTCGGAATCAGCATTCGGCCTTCGGCACCCTTCCATCATTCGGCGTGTGCGATGTCTTCACATTCCCCCAATGATTCGGAATCGGCCTTCAACCTTCGGCCCTCAGCCTTCGGCACCCCTTCCGTTATTCGGCGTGCGATGTCTTCACATCCCCCAATGATTCGGCATCTGCTTTCGGCACCCTTACGTCATTCGGCATATGATGTCTTCACATCCCCCAATGATTCGGCATTTGCCGTCGGCACCTTTGAATCATTTGGCGCGTGCGATATCTTCACATCCCCCTAATGATTCGGCATCTGCCTTTGACACCCTTTCATCATTTGGCGCGTGCGATGTCTTCACATCCCCGAATGATTCGGCGTTTGCCTTCGGCCCAAAGCTTACGGCAGTAGGCCTCCTAAGCTTCCCAAGCTTACTGCAATAACTTCTAAAGCTTACGGCGGCAGCTCCTAAGCTTTCGACATCAGCTTTCGAAGCTTACGGCGGCAGCTCATAAGTAACGGCATCAGCTCCCAAAGCTCCAACGACATCTTCCAGCTCTTGCGTTGCCGAACGGCACCCCACGGGTGACACTTATCCAGCGCCTCTTCTCAAGGCCATGCCGAACGGCAGCTCATAACTTACGGCATCAGCTCCCAAGCTTTCGGCATCAACTTCCAAAGATTACGGCGGCAACTCCCGAACTTATGGCATTAGCTCTGAAGCTTACGGCAGCTCCCAGCTCTTGTGTTGCCGAACGACACCTCCCATGAGACATTCATCTCTTACAGCGCCAAAACTACCTACCGAACGGCACATGAAGAATTTTCTCTCTTACGGCACCTCATGGAGACATTTCTCTTTTACGACACCAAAGCTACCTGCCGAACAGCACCTCATGATGAATCTTCTCCCTTGCGGCGCCAAGGCCACATGTCGAACGGCACCTCTGGAGACGCTCTTCACTTACGGCGCCAAAGCCACATGCTGAACGGCATCTTCTGTGTCAAGGCATGCCGAACGGAACCTCCCAAGAGATATTTTTTCATTCCATGCCTATGCCACATGCTGAACGGCACCAATGAAGAATCTTCTAAGCTTCCGGCACCTATGCCAACTGCTGAACGATACCCATTATTGCAGCAACACCTTCAGCACCTACGATAGTGCATGCCTCCAATAGTTGTCATGCGACTCGAGCTTCATGCCCTTCAATAACTGCTACTTAACACTAGGTACCTTTACCTTCGGTGATCGGCAAGTACTAACTGAACAACTCTGCACCGATAACGCATACACAAGAAAGCGAAGAAGGAGCTGAAGCATTGCTTGGCCAGTGCATTTATAACTACAAGTCCCCAATCAAGAAATACCTCCTTAATCGGGAACTTGGGGGACTCCTGTTTGTACAATATCTGGCCAAGCACTTCCAAACCAATCCAAACAAAGGGAAGGGAGTCCCACATCGACAAAACACAAGAAGAGGGGACTCTCCCTCAATTATAAAAGGAGACCTCTCTCCTTCAAGAAAGAGAGAGTTAGACAGGCTACTAGGGCACCATATGGCTCATAAGGGTCTCATAGGCTTACTCCTAAGCCCATTTACAAGCATTTGCCTTCAGCCAGATCCTTAGCCTTCGGCCCTTCGCCTTCGGCCATCAGCCTTCGGCCCTCAGCCTTCGGTCATCAGCCTCCGACATTCTTCCTCCTCTCCTTGGATCTAACCCTATGTGCAATGTATACAGTCTTTATCATAATGAGAACATACTTCTCCGTGGACGTAGCCCATTATTCGGGTGAACCACGTACATTTGTCTTCTGTATGCATGCATATGTACTTACCGAATGCTCTCACATACCGATGGTCCTCACCTTCATCATCCTCCTCCTCATCTTTAAGTTGGTCTAATTACTACTGTCTAGTTTTTACCTCCAACAATTGGTTTTGTGAGATTTGTGAAGGAATTGTGGAAATAGGAGAAAGTGTGCTAAAAGGGGCAAGAAGATGAAGAGAAAGTGTGCTAAAAGGGGCAAGAAGATGAAGATTGGAGATTAATTAAAAAGAAGCCAAGTCATTCCTTTTGTTGCAAGGAATGTTGTCAAATTTCCTAGTTCAGGATGGTTTAAGTCTTATCAAGTCAAACAAGGAGAAATAAAGAAGACCATATATTAGAAGGAATCCTACTTTTATAATAACTGCAATTATACCTTAGATAGGTAGGATTTCTAGGAGTATTATAAATAGGGATTGATCAAATCCTCCATCCCCTCAATTATCCATAATCCATCATCCCCCATCCTCTATCATCAAATTCCTACATATCATACTCATAGCCGAAATATCCAAAGGAAAATACAAAGAAAGCTTGCGCAACCTTGGCATTCTACTTGGAGAATTTGGTGCCTTCCATGTCTTCATCAACCATCATGATTCTCAATAAGTCCTTCATGAACTAATTTCTTTTACTAGGGCTACGATGTAGCCTAGCTATGAATACTCAAATTCTTTGATATTGTTAATTTTATTTATCTATACATGTTGAGTGTTTGTTACCGTTCTTAATTCTTTCAATTAATTGGCCACTAATTGCATGATTGGAAGAATTAGATTGAGACCGAAAGGAGATTCCTAATAAAAAGCTTCTAGTAACAAGTACCATAAATTACATAGCCGACTCGGAAGACTAGGTTATGGTCTATGTAATTTTTATTGTTTTCCACAAATCTTAATGGGTTTTTAGCTATCTAAATCCATAACTAGGGATAGAGTGGGTTGATGGTAAGGAATACAACTAATATAACTTGGAAGAGAGTATTGGTGAGGTAAGGGAAAACGATTATCAACATGTTAGGTAATTATGATTAACAATCTAGAAGGATTTGGGTGGGATTAGCTAGGTGAAATCGGTGCCCTAGTGCTTTATCATCTTTGTTTCATTTTTTACATTAGTTCCTTAATCTCAATTTATTTTACTTAATTAGATTTTAATCATCATAATTCTCTTATTGTTTAATTCAAATATAATTAGAATTAAATCACTCTAATATTTAATAGATTAACTTGATTCCTGTTAGAACTATACTCTACTTATTACTATATTAATTTGAGCGATATTTTCCACTTATTATTAATCACAACAACATGCAGTTTTAGCTCAACAACGAACCAAACCAAACAAAACCAAACCAAACGCACCCCTAAATAAAACACGTAATTGCAACACAAACTTACATATAGCACAACAAAAAATATGAGATAATTACAAAATAAATAACTGATGGAGGGACGGTGCCATAGAAAAAGGATACATACAAATCGAAGTGTGACTATAAAATCTCACCTCCCATCTGGTGGACAGGTCCCACACACACCCAATATCCATGTTCCATGTTCTTGTGCTCACTATATGCTAAGCACTCAAAATGCAAACTGTGTGCCCTAGACAGCATTTCACGACAGCAACATTGCACCCGTAACCTCATTTCTTTCTTCTTTTTTCTTCTTCCTCTCTTTCTTTTTTTGTTTTGTTTTTTGCATTTCATGCATAAAAAGCACACTCTGCATATCCTCACTCTGCGCGTGCAAAGCATTCTTAATTTGTAGGCTTTCTAGAATTTGCCTTGAGCCTTTAAAGTGAGGGCATCCCATACTGGTCACCTACCCTAAGGTGATGATTCTGTACAGTACAAGCCTGACTTGTAAGGACCACTACTACACCCAAACAAATCAGTCTAAATCAAGCTCGAAATTTTACAAAAACCAACCACTTGCATAACCTGATGTGATTATCAAATTAAATGTGAGTATTCAATTCAAAATTAATTGATAATGAATAAAGACGCTAAAATCTTTTAAATTATCAAGTAATGCTGTAATTTCCCCGTGTAGAAAGTTTAACATATAAAACATGTATTTATTGACACGAACTAGTAATTTTATGATGGTCAAAATCCTTATCTCTTCCCTCTTCTTATTGTCCAAATAAAGCTGACTATGTGAACATTTCCTGTAAACAATGCATGAACTTCTAATTGGTGAATATTAATTGGTTTTATCCTAAAAAGAAAAAAAAAGAAAAAAAAGAAAAGCAACCCTATTACAATTCATATGTACAATATGTCAATGTGAATGGAGTTTTTTTATAAGTTGAAACATTTTCTCTAATTATAATGATAGGAAAAGGTCACTATAGTGACATATTGGACCACTAACACTAAATGCAAGTTCAAACATATCCTTTGACCACACATACATGAAATTATTATTATTTTAATTTTCAACTTCCTTCATGTCGAGTAACATTTAATGAATCACGAATTATGCGAATTCTTCACGAAAAATTTAAAAAAGTAATTGATTACATACTCATTCGATCTCTTTCTAATTTGTAACTTATTTGATTCACGACTTCTCCATTTCAAGAAAACAAATGTGGCACGAAAAAGTTATTTAAGTTTACAAATGAGAATGATGAAAATTTGGAATCTCAATCACATGTGAACAGTACACACAAACATGCGAACCTATTTATACCTCGAGTCAAATAAGGAAACAAAAAGTAACGTTAAAATTCCCTCAGTAAATCTAACCAAGTAAATGTATACACGTGCCCTCATGGCCTGTAAGACAATCATGTTCAACAAACATTCCCACAAGTAATGAGTATGAGAACTTATTACTGACCCAAAAAGAAAAGAAATTATGGAAAAGGTGGATGCATGAACTATAATCATTCATAACTTAGGCTATCATGGCGGATGTTTTTATTCTTTAATTGCATAATAAAATATTATTGGATGAGATTATCATTGTCAAGTCGAATGTTGTATTTATAGAAATCCGAATCTAATACGTATGTAATTATGCCTACCTTTTTACTACTAAATCACGAAAGTAAGTTAAAATTTAGATACTGCTTTTTTTCTCTAAATAAATATTTTTTTTTTTTTTTTTTTTTTTTTTTTTTTTTTTTTTTTTTTTAATCTGTTTGACGCATATTAAAAAATAATTCATCAAAAATGCAAACAGAAAAACTTTTACATACATGTCATATTATTACTGACATGAATATAAAAGCTCCTATTTAGATAGTACTGAGGAGGAAAGTATTTGGTAAATACTAAATAGTAAAAAGAATGATAAATAGAATTTAAAAACTGGAACCCACCCTTTTTTAAGTTATATTTCACCAACCAACTGGAACCCATCTTCCCTCCAATTTATTTGTTTGTTTTTGTTTTTGTTTTTGTTTTCTTTTCTGAATTTCAGCTTGATATGACTTTCTCTGCAAAGCCTTTCTCTTTAGTCAAAAGGACCTCCACCTTGGGGCCCTCCCTTCCACACTCTATCCCCACTATTTTCTAATCCTAAATTACAGTCACAACATTAAAAAACAAAAACAAAAACAAAACAAAAAGGAAGGCACAATCAAAACCCATATCAAAAGAGGACCTTGAAAAGAGAATAGTGATTAACAACAATCTCCATATATTATCCAACTGTAAAGCAAACCCACATTGGATGCTCAAAGAAAATTGAAACAATGAAAATGTGAATCCCCAAATCTCACTATCTTCTTCAACCTTTTGTTCATCACTTTTGAAGCCAAACCACAAACCCTGCAGACCCAGAAGCAGAACCCACCTCACCAACACCAACCATGCCTTCAAGACCATTCCCTCCTTCAAGTCCTGACCTTCCAAGTTTTAGGCCACCCAATTTCTTGACAAAAACCAGGGTCTTGTTCTTGGCCCTCACAATCTCAGCTTCTTTGGTGATACTTTCATCAATCATCTATTTTCTTTACCACCTCTGGCAATCACTTGTGAACAGGGCTAAGACCATTCCATTTGATTCCAGTGCACCTCTCAAGCTTGAAAGATTTTCATGCAAAGAGCTCAAGAATGCCACCAATGACTTTGATGGTGCCAATGTTATTGGCAAAGGTGGCTCTGGCACTGTCTTTAGAGGCATACTCAAGTGTGGTAAGTTGATTGCCATTAAGAGGTTGGATGCTTTGAATTTGCAGTCAGAGAGAGAGTTCCAGAATGAGTTGCAGATTCTTGGTGGGTTGAGATCACCATTATTGGTGACCCTTTTGGGTTATTGTGTGGAAAAGAATTGTAGGATTCTGGTTTATGAGTATATGCCCAATAGGAGTCTCCAAGAATCACTTTTTGGGGATGGCCTTTTGACTTTGGGTTGGGAGAGGAGGTTTGAGATCATTTCAGACGTAGCCAGAGCACTTGAGTTCTTGCATTTGGGATGTGATCCTCCAGTTATTCATGGTGATATTAAGCCTAGCAACATTTTGCTTGATTTCGATTACCGGGCAAAGATTTCGGATTTCGGGTTGTCAAGGATCAAAGTGGAGGGTGAATTTGGGGTTGATATGTTTAGCCAGGACTTGGGTAAGAGTCAGGAGCTGTGGAAGAGCCAGGAGCTGTCTGGGAACTTGGCTGCGGACACTCCGGCGATTGGTACCCCTGTGGAGAGTGCTAGTGAGGTAGATTTTGCTCTTGCTTTGCAAGCTTCTTCTTCATCGAAAAATAGTAGAAAATGTTGTGATGTTAAAGCTTTGACCTTGAATTCTGTGAACTATAATGCCAACATTGCTTTTGAGAGTGATATGAAGAGTTGTCATGGTAAGGGGAAAGAGGTTTCAACTGTAGATTTAGGTGGGGATGATTGGAATAATAGGTTTGTGCCTTATGATGATGAGCTTAGTAGCATTGACCATAGTAAGGAGTTGAATTTTGTTGCCGGTTCTGGTGTTGATGATGCAGAGGATACAAAACAGTGGGGGAAGGATTGGTGGTGGAAGCAGGATGGAAGTGGTGAATTGTGTAGTAAAGATTATGTTACAGAATGGATAGGGAGTCAGATTTGCCCATCTACGAATCCCGACTGGGATGACGAAAAGAAGAGCATTCATGAGAAACATGGGTTAGATGTATCAACTCCAGTTGATAAATTAGAAAATGCAAATGAACCCCAGTTGCAAGAATTTGGGTTTGATCCCAATAAGGGGTTCGAGAAGAAAGAATTGAAGAGCAGGAAAAATCACAAAAGGAAGCCAAGGAAGATGCAAGAGTGGTGGAAAGAAGAGCACCTTGCTGAGATTAGCAAGAAGGGTAATAAGCTTAAAAATCTCGAAACAAAGTGGAAGAAAGGCTTCAAAATGCCACGTTTTGGCAGATGGATGTACCTTCAGAGACGAAAGAACTTTAGGGAGCAGAGTCAGGATAAATGTGATCAAAATGGGGAGTTCAGTTTCAGGAGGGGATGGAAGAAAAAGACTGCACATTCTGTTGGAAGTGACGTCTATAGTGGTGATCTATTTAGCCGTGAGCTCAGCAGCACAACAAGCATGAGAGGGACTTTGTGCTATGTTGCGCCAGAATATGGTGGGTGTGGATACTTGATGGAGAAGGCTGACATTTACAGTCTAGGTGTTCTAATCCTTGTGGTTGTGTCTGGTAGAAGACCATTACATGTTCTTGCATCACCCATGAAGCTAGAAAAGGCAAATTTAATAAGCTGGTGTCGGCAGTTAGCTCACGCTGGAAACATCCTTGAACTTGTAGATGAGAGATTGAAGGATGAGTACAATAAAGACCAGGCAAGTTTGTGTATAAATTTGGCTCTCTCTTGCTTACAAAAGATGCCAGAGTTACGACCGGAAATTGGGGAGATTGTTAAGATCTTGAAAGGGGAGATGGATCTCCCACCACTCCCGTTCGAGTTCTCTCCCTCCCCCCCTTCAAAGTTATACAGCAGGTCAAGGAGAAAACAGACTGCCACTACAGAGTAGGGACTATAACATATTCTTCATTTCAAGTTTCTTTTATCATTCCCCACTGGGGTTATGGTGAGTGTAATATAGAAGCAATGATTCGAAATCGTATTTGAAAACAAATTTATGGCCTGCATGTTGTGTGCACCATGAGGTTGTTGTGTGTATATTAGCAATTAGGTAGATGATTCTGCTCCATTTTTCATTGCTGGGTTAATGTTCAAGTCCTATTGACACTCCCTTTGTTGTTTTTTCAATCATAATCAGACCAAAGTTTCCTTAAATTCGTGCAGTGGAATATACAGGTCCTCTGTTTTATCCAGTGATTCATCGGGCTTGTGCTGTTTTGAAACAATTGCGGATGGTTTGTCAATGCATGCAAGAAATCAAATAGGAAAACTTTGAGAAACAATCTAGCTGCTCAAAAAGCCTTCCCATGTTTAAGTTTGTCTCACATTTCCTTACATTTGAAGGGTTTTTCTTTGGATACATGAACTAATTAAGAAGGTTTTAATTTACACCAGCCAGTAAAACTTTGACAGCCACAGAAAATGATTGATCCTTTAATTTTGGTTGGAGCTTTTTTAGATTGATCATGAAGCACTGAAGTCTTAATCACGGGCCAAAGCTGCTCACTACTAAAGTGTAAATAATTAACCCACGAGAGGCTAAGACTAATCACTCAAAAGTATATATCATAAAGTCACGGCCCTATCCATATAATTTTTCCTGCTGGATTGTCATTGTCATTTTCCTTTTCCTTTCCTAGAAAGAAGAGAAAGAAAAGGTTGCTATCTGGGCAAAGAAAACATGGATGTGTTGTGTGATATTAGGGACAACTCTTGGAAGCAATATTTGCATTATTCCCCTTATTGGGCTGGAGGAAAAGGACCGCAAAAGTAAAAGTAAAAAGGATTATGAACCAAAGCTTGCGAAGACTGACAGGCAAGTTACTTATGTACCATTTGAGCCATCTATGAGGTTATCTGGTGTAGTTGCTTAGAAGCATCATAGCCACCATTAGTCGCAGAACTTGCATGGCACGAGGATAACAATGTTTCGCTATTTTCAACTAATCATATTTTGCTATGTGATAAAATTACCACCCGTGGCGAAACGTGATTGATTGGAGATAGCGAAACAGTGTCATCTCTGTGATATACAATGTTTTCTCCTTTCAAAGGCTCAGACAAATGAGCTCTGTGTTTCTATCAGTCTCAGACTGCACACTAGCTAGAGGGCTATTTTCCTTCTGAAATCTTTGCCGACACTTGAAAAACATCATTTTGGTGGGACTATTTCTATTTTTATTTCTCAGTGGGCCATGCTAGACAATGGTATATTACATTTTGAGCAGAAAATGTCATCTCACATGTTACATGTCAGATAAAATTGGAACATTATAGAGGAATTTTCTGGTTTGCTCTGACAACGTGTGTTTACTGATATTTTCTTTATCTTTAAAGAGATTTTCATTCCACTGAAACAGAATGAGTATCCAACTAAGGAGAACCCTCCTCTATCCATACAATATTCGTTGAACAACACCTGGTAAACCTAATAAAGATGACCGAATTAGGTTTTAATCTAATGGTATTTTTCTTTCTAATATAGAACAAGTCTCAAGTTCGAATCCTTATTTTTGACAAAAAAAAGGTTCAAATTCCCCCCTCTGTTGCAAAGAAACCCAAAAAAACTTTCTACCAAGTTTAAAGAAATTGGTAAAAAAAAACAAAAAACAAAAAAAGTTGTCATACGTTCTTGAAGAAATTAAATAGAACTATTTTTCTCAAATAAATGTACTGTAATATATTCTGAAGTTTTTACCTGCATTATTAGTGCTTCCATAACTACTGCGTAAGTGTATTGTTGAACAAAGAAAATTAAAGGTACAGAAATACAATATATTAATAGAGGATTCTCAGCAAATCAAGCATGCATGATCTTTGACCAAGACACAAACAGACCTAGAAAAGAAACCAAACCCAGTTAAGTAATAATTATCTCTCTCTCTCTCTCTCTCTCTCTCTCTCTTCTAAGATGTTTACAAATAGTTTAAAAAAATCTTGAACATGTGAGTCTCTTCATAATAACATAACCCATCAAATATTTATTGGAGGAAAGCACTTCTAGTCAGCTCTAGGAAATGATCATATTTGTCAATAATTGACCAACAAAACTAGACAATGGAGCTAGGCATTGGTTCCTGAGACCCCTTTTCATGTTTCTTTATTCGACCATAAAAAAACAACAACAAAAAAGCATTTGCTAGCTCCCACGTTCAATTTTATCATAATTGGAATTTCAAATATTCAAAATGAGAATGTGGGTAAGTTTGTTAACATTTTCATTTTGGAGCAAACCAAGTGGACCAATGCAATCATGTCTAGGCTAGTTCTGTATTTATTTTATGGGCTTGTACGGAAAGTCCATACATATTCAAACCTGATTGTTCAATTAACTTTGTGGTAAATGTGCATTTAATTACAGTAATATCAATCTTTAATCTTTTAACACTTACCCTATGCCAACGGGGTCTAGCTTAGTGGAAAATGGCATTGCCCAGTAGTCTCATATTCGAAACCCCAGGACAATAGTGTGTACGAGAAAAACCCCTCCTCATCTACTTCTAACAAACAAAAAAAAAAAAAAAAAAAAAAAAAAACTACCTTACTACAACCCTACATTCTATGACCTCAACCTCCCACATTAGCCCCTTTAATCCTTGAAGGCCCAACATTAGCTCCTTTAATCCTTTAATGCCCAACATTAGCCCCTTCAAGCCTTGAAAACCAAACATTAGCCCCAGCAATTGCAATTCCTACAATCCCATCCCAAACTTTAGCCCCTTCAAGCCTTAACATTCCTATCCAAGATATCCCTACAATCTCAACCTCCCAAAATAGACCCTCCAAGCCCTCTTATCCCACTTCACACAATAATTCCAAGCCCCTCCAAGAAGAAAAACTTATGTACCACCGTTTCATTGCCTGGAGGAGAGAGAGAAAGAAAGGGGGCAAATGAAATGAAGATAGGGAAGTATTTCTCCCCTCCAAGCCCACCTACTATTATCCTACCCCAAAATACATTAGTCCCATCAACTAGTCCTACAACTCCATTTGATCCAACTTTAAACCCTCCTCTTAGCACTGCCATTGCCCCATCCATTACTACTCTCACCCTTCCAAACATTGCTTATCCACCACCTCCAGTCCCCATCTTCCCACCTCCCCTGCTCCAACCCTTCCTCCCCTTACTTTATGTTATTACCAACTGGACACGGCATTGCCCGGAATTGAATTTCTGCTGCATCATCATGCTCTGCTGATTGCAGGCAACATTCATCCATGCCACAGATTGCCAATAAGTTAAATCAATGCTTAGATCAAGAAAAACACATTGTTGCTTATTCATGTCATTATCTTAAATACACTGTGGTACATTCAAACATTTGATGTGAAACAAAGAGAACAAACAATGACATTATGGGACATCTGATAACATTTTCAGCCTAAAAATAAGAAGAAAAAAACAGAAACTAGTTAATATCAAATGCAGGAATCGTATTATAAGTGAAACACGATATTAACATACTTCTCATAAGGAGCTACGGAGGGAAAGAGAGAGTGATCATCTTTCTATATGTGGTGATTTTTAACAATGACAATTTTATAATTTTATAATTTGACCATTGATCATCTCAATATTATAAGCTTTTGATCAATCTGAGTGATTGTGCTACCTCTGTCATGATGGGCCTGTCATCCGGATTTGTTTTGAGACATCTCTCTATGAGCTTAGCACATTCCACTACTTGCTTCTTGTTTTCTTCTTCCAAGACATTGGCCTCTAAGTAGGTTTTGAAAAGATTTGCTAACTGTCTAAACTCTAGCTCGTTATATGAGCTTGAACTGCCTTTGTTAGAATTCTCCATAAACCAAATTAGTAAACTATCCCATCTCTTTCCTGCGAAGATCTCACATAACAGAATTCCGAAGCTATGGACATCACTCTTTTCTGAAGTACGTCCCGATATAGCATATTCAGGAGGCAGGCAGCTATGAGTCCCAGTAATTACTTCAACATCCACATGAGTTTTACCCAACGGAATTGGCACTGAGGTTCGGAACTCAGACAGCTTTGCAACATAGTCTTGGTCTAAGAATACATGTCCAGCCTTTATATCTCGATGGATGATCATCTTCGGCATGCCATAGTGGAGATAGGCAACTGCATCTGCTACTTCAATTGCAATCTTTAACCTGATCTGCCATTGTAGTGATTGGCCATCTCCATAGATGTGGTGTGAGAGGTTTCCTTTTGCTGGGAATTCGTAAACTAGCATAGGCAACTCACACTCGAGGCAGCATCCCAAGAGCTTCAAAACATTCTTGTGCTTGCTCATGTTCGAGGCTACTGCAGCTTCATTTGTAATCAGTTCTAGAGGATCCATGTAACTACTTGAGTCTGCTTCAAACTTTTTCACCAAAATTCCATGGTCTTCATGAACTCCTTTGTACAATCGAGAGTTCCAGTCTCGATGTGCCATTCCATCCCAGCAATAATCATTTGTTGCTTTCTTGAGCTCTTCTTTGGAGTACATCCGAATCGGATTACAATTCCCATAGAAAGAATGTATAAGCTGTTCTAACATGGCAGCTCCATTCTTCAAGAAGCATCCCTCCTCTTTTGTCTTGTATTTCTTGTTTCTGAAGCATGATAGCATATTCGAAGATTGGTTTTCAGTTGCCAAAGTTGCAGCACTATCTGTGGACCAGCCTGCTTTTGTGGTCCTGTTTCAGCTGACAGTTAACTAGGGGCTTAACTTGTTGACTAATAATTCTTTAGGAACTATCCTGGTTTTTTCTGGGTGTTTTCCTATAAGGCTTGTGGAAGAAACAAAACATCTGGTTTTGGACCACAAACGATGAACAATTATTACAGTAATAGATAAGGTTTTATTCTTGAAACACAGTTGTAGTTTTCATTATTTTGATTTTAATGACACTGGCTTATTGGAAGATTAGTTTTCAGTAGGTAACAGAACAGCTCCCTGCCTGTGGACTAATAACAGCTCACTTTGCTGGTCCACCCTCTCTGCAGACAGTCAAACTGGGGGGGCTTTACGCGTAATACATGAATTGTAGTTCAAATTTGTCTTCATGACTCTTCAATACCTTGAATAGACTTGAAGACTTTGAAAATAAATTGGGTTTGGTATGCCTTTGAAGACAGATAAAATTTGAACTTGGAGAAAGTGACAACCCCAAGTTGACTCTCTGCGCACAGGACAAAAAGACTGAGCTATCAATGTCCGCAGCTAAAGTTGTATTGTTATCAACTGGAATACCAATCTTTCGGTATGCTCTCACGCTTCAGAAACCACAAAAACAAGAGAAAAGAGGGCTACTTCCTGAAGAATGGAGCTGTGATGCTGGAACAGCTCATCCATTCTTTAATGGGGAATTGTAATCCGATTCGGATGTACTCTGGAAAAGAGCTCAAGAAGGCAACAAACGACTACAGCTGGGATAGAATGACACATGGGGATTGGAACTTCCAACTGTACAAAGGAGTTCATGATGATCATGAAATTCTAGTGAAGAAGTTTGAAGGAGACTCAAACAGTTTCATGGACCCTCTAGAACTAATTACAAATGAAGCTGCTATTGCCTCAAAAATGAGCAAGCAAAAGAATGTTTTGAATCTCTTGGGCTGCTGCCTTGAGACTGAGTTGCTTACTCTAGTTTAGGAATTCTCTCTCATCACATCTATAGGGGCAGTCAATTGCTACCATGGCAGATTAAGCTAAAGATTGCAGTTGAAGTAGCAGATGCAGTTGCATATCTCCACTACGGCACGTGCAAGATGTTCATCCATCGACATATAAAGACAGAATATATCTTCTTAGACCAAGACTATGTTGCCAAACTGTCTGAGTTCCAAACCTCCGTACCAATTCCTTGTGGTGAAACTCATGTTGATGCCGAAGTGTTCGGGGCTCCACACCACTCTACTCCAGAACTAAAATTTATGGGCGTTATAACGAGAAAAGTGATGTCTATAATTTTGGGATTGTAGTCTGTGAAATTCTAACAGGAAAGAACATTGCTGATTTACAAGCTTTTCAGGTTTTAGTGAATTCTAACGAATGGGAAAGCATTTTGAGAGAAAATTTGCATGATAGAAGCATGGGGCAAGTAGCAGAATGCACCAAGCTCGCATTGTGGTGTCTCGAGTCAGATCCTTATGATAGGCTCACCATGAAAGAAGTGTCAACGAGATTAAGATTAATAAAGAGATTCTAATATTAATGTTTTGTTGTACTTCACAGTTTAAATCATAAAATTTGAATGTTTTCTTCTTCCCTTAATATCTTTGCATCTTTACATAGAAATTAATATTTTTGGTCTTCTAGATTTTGTGTTTTCCCCCATCCATTAGGATCTTATATGCGTAGTGTATTCATTTGGCTACGTAAATCTTGATAGTATTAAAGCTACAAAATCACCCAACCTTCTTATTTTCTGGAAATTCTTGTCGAAAGACGGGGCAGAACAAGCAAAATTAGCAAAGGCAGTAATGCTTGGGCAATGAGAAGGCAAAGCTCATGGAAAACTATTACCATGGGAACCTTTTTGAATGGACAGCATTACTATGTAAAGAACAAGGCTTAATTATTCGACACCTCCATGTCGAAGTAGATGCAGCTGAAGAACCGCCTACATCTGTTGCAACTGGAAATGGAGAATATTTGATGTGCCTATGGTAGATTAGTCTTAGAAGCTAGCACAATGTAGTCACTGACAAGTCTTTGGTCATAACAGTGAAGCCTGCGCTCCTATTAAACTAGTTTGGATGCCTAAGGAGACAACTCAAGAGACAGGGTGTTGGTCTAATCCTAAACATGGCTCAGAAAGTCAAAATTGTAAAGTTTCAGAGCGGTGATTAAAATAGTTGAAGGATGATCAAATTGTAAAGTTTTGCTAATTTGAAACAAAGTTTAGGCAATACAGTTGACAGTTGAGGGTACAAAGAAAAAAACCAGAAGAGTTCAACCCAAATCATATAATGTAAATGTCCAAAGAACATCAACTAAGGAAAAAAAGAAAAGCTTAAAACTGAGAACAAATAAGAATAAATTGTACACTTCCCTGACTTACACCAGCTTCCACAACCAAAACACACCACTAGAACTAGACCCATCCGAATCCAAAGCACAGCATTGCCAAAGAAACCGCTAAGGCCCGGAATCCCTGTCGAGGAACAACCAGGACAGCAGAATCTGATGAAGAATTATGGGCACTTGGGGCGGCCTTGGGTGGCGAAGGCAGAGGATGGACAACAACAGAGACCTTCATGCCATTGTAGCATTGACCATTGCCACAAATGAAGTAATACCTCTTGGCCTGATTGAGGGGTATGAAGTCTTTGCCACTGCTCCAGTTCCCTACAGCACTGTCCAAGGTGCAGTTGTCATACCCAGTCTGGTTTACCTCAAACACATTGTACTGGTTCTTTGGGTACCTAAATGCTGCAAGTCAACAAGCAATACTCTGAGAAGAAAAGGAAGACCAGGATAAATAAGAAAACCTTGCACAGAAAAAGGCTAAGACAGGTAGCAAATTGTATGATTAGCCCAAAAAGATAGTAAATTTGTGTGTACACACACACCAACGGCAATATTCAAAGTACCACAATGATCAGCTATGAACTGTGAAAAAGATATGAAAGAAAACTATCTCAGATAGACAATTAAGCTAAAGAAATCCAAAATTAATGTGCTAGGTTCAGTTCAAGTGTACCGTAGTAACCATAATATGATATATCTCACTTTTATCTTCCTCTTTTTTTAAAAAAATTTTGGTTGTTAACAAGCAGCAGAAAAGTGAAAACAAAAATACCCAAAAAAGAAAGTGGGTTTTAGAATGCAATTCAATTGTACCATAGTACCATAATATGATACCATTTTTCTCATTTTTTTAATAAAATTTGAACTTTTGTTTTTAACAAGCAGCAGAAAAGTGAAAACAAAAATACCCAACAAAGAAAGTGGGTTCGGAATGCAAACTGAGTACTTGAAAATGAATCTAATGACAGAAAAAATAGAGAGAGAGAGAGAGGGAGAGAGAGAGAGAGAGAGAGAGAGAGAGAGAGAGCTTACAGATGAGGTCCCCAAACATAGAACGTTTGGTTGTTGGCCCAGAGGGTGTAGTTGATGCCAGGGTTCCAGCCACGGTTGGCACCAACAATGTGGTCAGTGGCAAGGATTGGAGTGAGGACTGCAAGGCCGGAGATGAAAAGGAGAAACAGATGAGGTGGGTCGAGTTACAAGACTTCCACATGTTCCTTCTCTGGTTGGTTTCTTCTTTCTCCGCTTCTTCCGTCTCTTGGTTAACGGAAATAATTCGCTGGAGAGAGTTCAAAAAGGAATCCAGTTGAGTTGAGCTCTGGGTCTCTGTGGGCTCCACAAACAAACAATTCTTCTTTCTTCCCATTATTTTGGTTTATTTCACAGAACTCCAGAACAATATTTCCATAAAAAAATCTTATCAACTTGCAATATAGTAAAAAGAACCGACAAAGAAAAGAAAAAGAACTATTGATGGCATAAGATGTATGAGTAGATGGATCAGGCATTAGGAAATGGCCGTTGTGGTCTCCAAACAAGCAGGCCCCATTTTAATATTTTCTTGGAGTAGCTTTTAATAACTTACCCACATTTTTGTCCTTGTTTGGTAACTTGGGACACAAAATAAGAAGCAACGCGAAATTTGTTTTATTGTAAGACATTCCGGGTCGTGGATCAATACAGACTATTGTGATTTCTGTTCTGATCATTGATTTATGTGATTTTCAATTTTATAAAAAAACAATTTAGTTGTCTATGAACGAGTGATTTCTTATCATTTATGCATATAAAATCCGTATTTTATAATCATTAGAAAATGTCACTGAGGTGTCAATGGAGTCTAGCTTAGTTAAAAGAATATTAATTTGTAGATTAATAGTTTTTTATTCGAATTCCTATAGTACCTTGGTAGTGTGTGTGGGAGAAACCCCCCACCTTTAATAATAGTTTTTTACTCTTTCCAAGATTGCTGCCTTAGGTGACTTTGACATTCCTGCTTCTTGCATTTCAATATTTCGTACAGATATCTCCTCATAATTTGACATATGAAATAATGCCAAAAAGAAATGCCTGGTTTAGCAAGAGGTAGGGGAGGGAGACACTTGAGTAAAAGACAACGGTACTTCTTGTCACTTGAATATCTTCATACAAAGTGTTACATCCTATTGTATCAAGAAACACCTTAACACTTCCATTTTGTATTGGTATTGCAAAATATCATGCTTCTGCAAATAAATGCTCAATCATGGTAATAAATGTATGTATGTTTATAAAGTCCCAAAGACGCATACATATTCGTGTTCCCATATTTGTCCATATGAAAGCATAACACTAGTGCCTCTGCTGACGAATCATAGACGAAAGGCAACGGCCTATTAGAACTTCTCCAGTATTGCTATCCAAGGCTAAGGAAAAAAAGTGAAAATATCTTACATCAAGAGTTGTTCACAATTATGAGTTATAAAGCAAAAGGTTCTTCATTCTCTTCCTTCTAAACGGATCTGGAAACCCTGTATCTCCAAATAATAGGTTCCACCAGCACAGATGATGAGTGAGAAGCTGCAGAAAAAGAAATCACCAAATTTCCAAATTAAAAGTACTTACAAAAAGAAACATCCATTCCATTCAGTATGAGCAAACAAAAAACAACAAAGGAAAGGGAAAGACAGTCTACTTCCAAGCCATGTGAACCAACAAAAAATGCAAATCAAGTCCATGAACCAATTGGCAAACATTGCATTCATTTGCCAAAATGTAATATGAAGGTCAAGTGGAATGCGTACCAGGAACACGTAGAAACAATAGCATTGATCCCCAAATACCACAACAATGTGAATCAAATGCTCCTCATAATATATTTTTTGCACCATTCAAGAGGCTCAGTTCCTTCTTTCTAAATGCTAAATCAATTTTGTTTTGATCAGCTGTCAAGAATGAAAACCAGATAGCACAAGTTGAAAGGTTTCTAGGAGTCAATTTTGCAGAAGCTCCTTAGCAACTTTTCCAACAACAACAACCTATATCTTCCATATGGAATTTGCAAAAGTTCTGCAAGAACTAGCAGAGAGGATCTTTCCAAGATTTTTGACATGCAGTCAAAATTTCAGATTATACTATTCAATTGATGTCTTCTCCTCTCTTGATTGGTGTGGACTTTTCCATCTCTTCATCCTGCCTTGCTTTTGATTAACCCTTGTCGCTTGCTTGACCGGTCTCAGTCTCTGTTTCCTTTTACACTACTGCCTCCAACTGGTTCCTTCAAAAGCTTTTCAAGCTTTGGATCTCCCAAAAATCCGTTTGACCTCATCTCAGCAAAAAGTTCCCTGGCCTTCATAACAAACGACAAGCTGCCAGGCCCTGTACCATTACTGTGTAATGTGTAGAATCAGGCACTACTCCATAGTGCTTCATTTCTGTCCAAATCTTCAATGCCATCTCAGGTTGCTCTAATCTGAAGAACTTTCCAAGAATCATAAGAAAGGTATTGCCATTAGGACCTAAATTTGCTTTCTTCATTCGATTAAGAATTTCAAGAGTTCCCACTAAACTTGTGCTCTGGAGAAATGCATGGTAAGTCTCAATGGTTGGGCTGATATTATCCTCTATCATAGCGCTCAACATCTGCCTCGCCTCCTCAGGCTTTTTTGATCCACATAAAGGACATATCATTGAGTTATAGGTAGTAGAATCTGGCTGCAAACCCATTTGTTTCAAATTGCCCAGCATTTTGAGAGCTTCGTTAAAGCAATTTTCACAAGTTAGTACATAAATCAATGAATTATAAACTTTGAGGCCAGGAACAAAGCCCCTTTTCTTCATTTGATCATAGAACCTAAGGGAGTCAAAAAGCTTTCCAACCTTTGACAAGCAGGAAATCAAATGTGTATAAGAAGTTGCATCTGGTGTAATACAACATTTTGACATTTCTCTCCAAACTCTCTTGGCTTCAAATACATCAACAGATATGTTACACCACCCATTGAGAATAATGTTAAAGCCCTCAGTCTCCAGTGGGAAAAGCTTCTTATTAACAAGCATGAATTCTTCAGCTTCTTCAATGTTTCCATACTTACAGAGAGCATTTAAGAGGGTGTGGAATGCTTCTTGATCAGGAGTCAACCTGAACTTGTCCATCATCTGGAATGTCTTAATGGCCTTACATGGATCATTTACAGATGCATATCTGATGAACACCAAAGGGGAAATAAAGAAAATTAATTTTTTGAATAACACTAGTGAACCACGTATAAGTTTGAGAAAGCACAAAGACAAAGTCGTGGAAGTGGTTGAAGACTTACATAAACTCATCTCATACACCATCATAAAAACAAAAATCCAAACGTCCCAAAGCTAGCAAAAGCAACAAAAGAATTTCTAATCTACAAAGATCCATACTTTACAATATTCGTAGAATTATGCGAACAATGCAAGAAGTATGCAACCCCAGAAACCACTTCTGGGAACCATCCAGAAACAAAACAAGAAAAGTTAGTTTGATTTCAGAACTTCAGAAGGTCCAAGCATCTTGTTTGATTGCACCAAAGAAGAAAATTCTACAACCACGTTTACTTCTAACTAGAAATAATGTAGCTAAGTTAAACCTCCTTTGAACACCATATTCAATTTCAAAACATAATCAACATTCAATCAAAACAATAAAAAAATATCAAAAGCTAAGCTCAAGCTCACCTCTCAATCATAATGAGCATAGCACGCCGTGTATCCATCAGAGCCCGATGCAAGTCCCGTATCAAACACCAAGCAGTACTGAACTTTCTGTGACTCCCCAAAACCCATACCATCAAACTACAAGCCTCTTCATCGCAACAACCCAATTTCTCACCCCATTTGAAAGCCAAAAACGCCAATTTCCAGTCTTCCTTCAATTCCCAAATCGCTAAAAGGACCGTATCTCCATTCACCTCAATGCCCGACTTGTCGAGAAAAGCCATGGCCTCGGCTTCTGAGGCAAAATGGGCGGCATGTTTGAGCAATTCGAGAAATTGGGTGAGACCCGACTTGTACGGGTCATTTGTCTTGAATCGTTGGGCATTGAAGCCCAATGGGTCGTTGAGAGTTTGGGCTGAGAAGGGTTGGAGAGTAGAAAAATGACGAGGGGTTTGAAAGGGAACGAGAAGTGTTCGATGAAATGTTTGAGAGAGATGCTGGGGGAGAGGGTGTGAAGAATGAGGAGGAGACGGTGAGTTAGAAATGGACGGGAGCAGCGTGTGTGATAGGAAGAGCTGGGGATGTTTGCTTCGTAGCTTTCTTGCTATGGAGGGAAGCGCCATCAGTTTACCAGAAGAAAAGACTATGGGACATGTCGAACGCCAGCAAAGGCAAAGAAAATCTGAAAAATGGTGAAAACGGGAAGCAATCGCAAACTGTCATGTGAAAGGGTATTACACATGGCATGCCGTGATTAATTGGAATAGTAAATAATGTTACCTTTGTTTCATATATACAAGTGTCTCACGAGAGGGAGACTACATCATTGTATCAAATTGTATATAACAGAGGCGAGATCAATTTGTGACTTACAATGCCAAAGTAGTGGGGGAGCCCGACCTTCTGCATTTAGAGACGGTGTATTTACCTGCATTTCATAAAATTTAGACTATCCAACTAATCCAATGCTTATGAGAATACCACATTGCCTACAATAAGTTCGTTTCCTTTTTTATAAACGCCATCACTTGTATCTTCCTCTTCTCTCTCAACTCGCGCACTCATCTTCTTTCCCATGTTGTTCTCACCCTTTTTTTTTGTTACAATATTTTCTTATAAGTTCAATAAGAACGGATTTTCGCTAGTAATGTTGTTTTCTTTCTATCAGTATTCATTATGATTTGCGAAAAAAAACCTAAAATAGCTAAATACTTCCATTAAAAAAAGATAAATTAAAAATCTTCCAATGTTGTAGTGATCGAGAAAAGCCCAAAGTTATTGTAACTTGCTAATTTCAAAGTTGTAGTCTAGTCATCGAGAAAAGCCCAAAATGATCAGGGAAATACCCATTTGATTTCAGTTTAATTTTCTTCAATGTTGGGGTTACAATACCCATCTTCAATTGATACACATTAAAGTAGAAGAAGAAGCCAAAAAAGAAAAAGAAAAAAAAAGACTATAATACAAAGACAAAGAGAAAAAAATTATAAATATATCAAATGAATGATGTGGGATATTCTCAAGCATTGGATCATTTGGATGGTCTAGATTTTATGAAATGTAGGTAAATGCAGAGGCTTCGGATCTAGTAGTGAGATTGTATATCCAACTTTTTCATAGGATTAGTTATCTTATAAAAATGCACCTAATGAAATTATGGTGAGATTATCTTCGTCTATATTTATTTTTTAGTACCAAACATTGGATTGGAATCCTCTACTAATCCTACCCACCGAACGATATTCTAAAGTTGTGTTTGTCACATTTCATAACAAAACAAAAGTTGTGTTTTGTGTCATCAATTTATAGAGAACTGAGAACGCCCTTATTGTCAATGTGGGTTCACTCTAAGATTATGGACTAACTAATCTTATTCTAAAACCAATATTGACAGGCAAATTGGTGATTGGAACTTCAAAATGAAGTGGCTCATTGACAACCTAATGGTAAATTTTTGTCAAGAGGCTAGGCAGGGATTGGTTGTATTATGGTTAAGTTTTTAATTAAAATAGTAATTATAAAGTATTTTAGTTCAAGTTTTTGAAGTTGAAACTTTACTTGAAAATAGAAAGCACGACTGAAGATGCTATAAGTCACGCTAAATCAAAATATTAGAATTTAATTCAAAGTTGATTTTTTATTGTGTGCGTTGCTCTCTTATTGGAATTTGGTATGTTATTAGGTTGATCAGGAATTTTTCTTTTGGTCGAGAGGTTGATTAGGATTAAACTACACAAACATATTAATAGTGACCAGTGTCTGTCGAATTAATACAAAGAACAAAAAACTCAATTAAGCATCAAGCCCAAATTAGAAGACTAGTTTCATCATATTATATGGCTTGCTGCAAAACATGATGCCACTGGTGTTGGTCACGGATGCTTATTATCACAACTACACAAACATTTTGGTAATTGTGGGTGTCGTCATTAACTTTCTGCCACGGCAGTAAATAAATAAACAAGCTCAACCTGATTCTCAATCGAACCAAAAACTAATCAATGATCAAGCCAGTAATTTATTTAAAAATTTATACACCAACTAGTCTAGGAAAGCCATGAATTAATAACTACAAAGTTAACTGGACACGACTCGAACACCATATTTTGCTAATTTCATTCATCATCCCCTATGAGTCTATGACTGAGCTCTGAGTAGAAAATAGCTTGTGATAAAATATTGTCACGCCCATAAAAACAAAGATTCTTCTTAATATTGTGTGTAAGATATTGGACCTAAATACATGCGTATGTTATACTTATTACACACATTGACAGTCAAGGACCTCGATTCTCTTCAGATATGGAAAAGGCAAGGTGTCCCCTCCATATATGCTCTGCAGCTGCGGTAGGCTTATCAATTTCAATTCAGCAAGCTTTGCAAAGTGATTCGTCTCTTCTACCTGCGCAACTTCATCCCGTCTTTCAAGTCGGATTACTTCTCTCATATTGGAACATGAACGTACAGATAGTTTCTTGAGATTTGGAGGGCAAATTAGCCACGTCAAGTCCCTCAAGTTGGGGCAATCATGTATATCCACTTCTTGAAGGTGTTTAAAGGAACTTTGCCTTGAGACATTGTAGTCCACAATTTCACAACTACTAATGGTAAGAAAATGTGGACGTTTCATATATGTCAGTGATGAGATATCAAGAAAGCTCAAACCATCAAGGCATAGAAATTGAGTGCAGCTCAGTAGTTTGCACATAGAGATTTCACTTTCTGCAGTACACTTGCCCAGGGGCTTGAAACCAGTTCCTTTGCTTTAGAGATTCTATTTTCCATAGGGATATGAATTTTTGGGCTCATCCTCTTTGCCCTTCTGATTGGAAATATACAGCTGAGGCATATACGTCCTTTATTTTGGAAGTGTGGGTCGAAGATGAGGATGCCCAAAGAGAGCATGTGCTTTCATGATGGGGATGTGTTCTTGGTTGTTGAGAATGCAAGAGTATATTACTTGCATTGCTATAACTACACTCTCTTGAAGCATTCTTTTTCTGTTTCTCAGAAAATGTAGAGAAAATGAAAGAAAATACGGAAAGCCAATTACAATAAGACTCTATGAACCATAGCATGCCACTGTCAGAGTTTAGGGTTTATTATGTTAACTTTTCTTGGAACTGTCTCACATAAAATCAAGAATTGTCTTCCATATTGTTTTTTGAATGTGTCATTAAAATCTAATAGTTTTGTATGTAATGGCCAAGCAAAGGCCTATAAGTTTCATGTAAAAATGATTGCAGAAAATAATTGTCGTTAAACTTTTTACTTGTTATATTATAAGGTTAACTACAAAAGACCCCCTAAACTATGGAGTCATTTTCAAGTTCGTATACATTTTGTAAGACATTTACAACTTCATACTCAAACTCCCAAAAAACCTACATTTTTTCTACTCTATTAGTGAGATCATCAAGAACGCCATTGTCTACCTACGTGGCTTGGAATAATATTTGAACTCTCTTTCTTGTTAGGAAAGATTTTCCCAATGTATCCATTTGTTACAACCTTGATATCCAAGTCTCCAAAATATTGCTATAATAAAATGTGGTTTTGTAGATAATTACCATATTATCTTGTGATAAGCGGAGGGTAAGGTTTCTTTAATAAATTTGAACTTCTTTTCTTCCATAAAAAAAAGTAATAAGAATAAATTTAACTCCTTTTCTTGTTAGGAAAGGTTTCCATCTTTGCGTTCCACAGCTGTCAAATCTCCTCTCTCCTCTCTCCGTTTTAAACGGTAAAAAATTCAGACCAATAACAAAACGATATTGAAAAAAAACGAACATAAGGTATTGTGGAAATTCTTGTCTGTTAGCTAGTAGCTTGGTGGCTACGTCACAAATCAAAACCTACAAAAGCATCAATTAAACCTGACCGACTTTATCCATCTCGTTAACCCTAATAAACCACACATTCCATACACCTTCCTATTCCCTAAACCAATACTATAAAGCATTATAGAGCACAATCAGTCAAGCAAGCCGCTTATTTTTTTTCAGAGAAATACTTATTTCCTTGTGGAGAGAAAACAGAGAACTGAGAACTGAGTGAAGAAGAAGAATAATGAAAAGAAAGGTTGAAGAAGAATTAGAAGGGGAAAAGCACAGCATGTGGAGCCATGGAGGGCACTGGCAGAGAGGGGAGTTTATTGGAGAAGGAAGCTTTGGTTCTGTTTTCCTTGCTACTCCCAAGAAACGAAGAAGGGGTGAGTTTAGCCGTATGGTCAATTTGCCTGCAGTGATGGCGGTGAAATCGGCAAAGGTGTCTGCTTCGGAGTCTATTGAACATGAGGCAGAGGTTCTGTTTGAGATCAAGGGCTGCCCTTTCATTATCGAGCGCTTTGGTGAAGAGACCACAACCACAGACAAGGGTGACAAGGTCTACAACTTGTTGTTAGAATTTGCTTCTGGAGGAACCCTTGATGGCCTCATACAAAAATCCAACGGTCTTGGATTGCTTGAATACGATGTTAGAAGATATACAAGGTCAATTCTTGAAGGGATTAGACACATTCACAAGTGTGACTATGTTCACTGTGATTTGAAGCCGGACAACATTCTGCTTGTGCCTACCACTACCACAACTTCTACTACAGCTAGGTCTGGTGCTACAACTAGTCTTGTAGCCAAGATTGCAGATTTTGGGTTGGCTAAGAAAACCAAGGACAACTATAGTCGGTGGAGAGGCACTCCTAGGTATCTGTCCCCAGAGGCTTTATTTGATAACAAACAAGATCAGTCGTGTGATATTTGGGCTCTTGGTTGTATTGTGTTTGAGATGCTAACCGGAAACTCCCCCTGGGATTTGAAGCCTGGTTGTGATCTTGACAATTCTGTCGACGTGACGGTGTTTGATCATCTACGTACTTCCAAAATTCCGACTGAGATCTCAGATGTGGCCAGGGATTTTCTCAAGAGTTGCCTTGCCATGAGGTCCTGTGAAAGATCAACAGCGGAAAGGCTCTTGTCTCATCCATTCTTAGCGCCGCCTCAACCATCAAAAGCGGGTCATGCCAAGTTGAAAGTGGTCAACTCATCTTTGGGCTATGCATATGGTGTCTGTTACTTCAAACCGAAAGCAGATTACCGTGCAAGCACTGCCACTGTTCCCAGAATTCATCCCCTACCGGGTTTTGAGATACCAGCTGGACATTAGGATTCTTTGTTCTTGTATTTTTTGTATTTGTAAAGTTGATGACTTGAAATTATTCATTTCAAGTTCATAACCACGAAATTGTAAAAAAAAAGATTCAAATTTATATACTAGTTGTTCTTTACTTCTGTCTATCTCTATCCTGTTCTTTCCATTAAATTGCCATAATATAAAGACATAACTGTTCAAAACGACGAAAATATGTGTTCAAGTTTTTGCAAGCTTAAATTCTCGACATTTAACTCAAATCAAATTTCTACAATTAAGTGAAATTGTTTACACAATTATTCAAAAAATTTCCCTGAGTTCTTTTTATTAGTCCTGTGTTTGCTTAATTCTGGAAAAGGAATGGTGTTATATTTGCTACTTGTACAGTCCCTTGAATTCCATTCAACACACCATAAGTG